AATGAATAATAAGGAAGAGGGGGCAACCAGAGGTAAGATATTAAATAGGAAAAATATAGAGATGTCATTGAGGGCCTAGTTAAGCCTGGAAGAGCAAATTTTTTTTTTCTTGTGCAGCATGGAGCCCCTTAAGCATGGTTGAATTTGCATTATCACACAATCGGTACATGATAGGGGAAGGTGCTAAAAACCAGATTAAATTATATTTTTAAAGGTATGATGTCGTTATGCCCAAATGCTTTTCATACTGTTATCATAAGAGTCTATTGAGAATCATGTGGCTTGTCTCTTCATTTTTGTTGTCGTTACTGAGGTATAATTTACATATAGTAAATCCAAACAACCTGGTCCCAGCATGCCGGGATGAGTTCTGACATATGCGTAGACATCTAGATACGGTTTATCCACCACACTTCAGATACGGAACTTGTAACCCCAAAATTCCCTTGTGCCTTTTGCAGTCAACCCCTTTCCCCATCCCCATACTCTGAAACCACTTATCTATTACCCTACAGTTTTCCTTTTCCAAAATTCTGTATAAAGGAAATCATCCAGTCAGTAGCCTTTTGAATTTGGCCTCTTTCATGTAATGTAATGCATATGAGCTACAGCCATGTTGTTGCATGCATTTGGATTATAGCTTAGCATTCCATTGTATTGCTACACTGCACATTGTCTGTCCATTCACCAGTTGATGGGCATTTGGGTTTTTCTGTACTTTTGGCCTTTAGGAGCAGTGCTGCAGTGAATATGCATGCATGAGTCTTTGTGTGGACAGATGTTGTCATTTCTCCTGGGTAGGTAATAGGAAGCGGGATTGCTTAAAAGGCATTCTAAGGAGTTAGGTTTCCATTTGGAAACCCTCCCCCATGTTGGGGGAGGGGGCGATCCATGGGCATATTTTCAGCAGTGGGGATAAATGGATAGATTGTTTCACAAAGATCCTGAGAACAGTGTAGAGCATGAGGCAGACAGAATAGGGAATCGTCACTTTGCTTTCCACCTGTGGCAAACACAGCCGTTTTCATCACTCTCCTCGATGGAATGCGTCTAGGACATAGCACTGCAAAGACTTTGTTTTTATTGGCGGACTACTCCTCCCCATGCACCATGACACAAAATCACCTTCTTCCATGGAATTAGTGGAAATGAAAGGGAATCACCATTAATTTGTATATACTCTAAAGATGTATCATTAGTGCTTTTCTCATGCCTTTCATTACTCTTTTATCTTCCTTCTTGCCTTTTAATTTACTCTTAATGTTTTGATCATGGCATGGCAAGGGAAGTAGGGGTTTCAAATGCTGCTGGTCACTTTTTCTCTCCTTTTTTTGTGGTTTTGGAAAAGGATAAAATACTTGTAATGGCAGTACTTAAAGAAGGCAAAACTTAATGTAGCATAGACAGCTTCCTCTCGAACCATTTTTTAAAAAATCCACATTCAACAAAATTAACAATCCATTCCAGTACCTTCTAGGTCTACTTTGAAGGATTATTGACGTGATTTAAATCAACTGAGAATTAGAAGCACAGGATTTGTTAGTCCAAAGAGACCTTAAGAGAACCAGTCCAAATCACTCATTTGTACGTGAGAAGAGTGAGGCCCAAAGAACTTGAGAAACGGTTGTCATGTTGGCTGCAGGATCACGTGCCTCCCCAGAACAGGAGGGAAGGGATCTGTGTGTGCTTACATTTGGGAAAATTGCCTTAGGCTCTTTATACATGGAAAAATAACAGGACAAAACTTGAATTTTAGAGCAGCAGTAGTTAGGAGCTATTAAGTAGGAACATATGTGAAAAGATGGGACAGAGTAATTTGTTGGTAACAGGTGTTGTTGTGAGATTTTTAATATTTTGTCTATCTTTGTGATGATATTAAAATATTTTGACACTAAAATCAAGGCTGGCTGTTTAGCAAGCACATTATGTTAATGTTGACTACTTTGGAGTCCCTGAACTACCAACAGGTTTTTTTTTTTCTTATAAAGAATCTCCTGTTAATTTTAACTGTATAACATAGAACATGTATCTGGGGAAACCGATGATGCTAGCTTTAAAACCCTCTGCTCAGATGCATGCCTGAGTCCCGCCCGCATGTTGCTGACAGACACTTCTGCAAAACCAAAATGAGCAATTGAGAGCCATAAGCCAGTGCTGAGATGATGAGATAGCTCTCACTGCTGTAAATCCACAGCTCAGTCAAAAGTCACTTCATTTTCCATATCCTCAGCGTGTATGCTAATGTCTAAAGACAAAGTGGAAAATGCCAGTTATCAACTATTTTTTCACCCTCTGCATTAGGCACTTATGTGTTTCAACAATAGAGGGCCTGAGAGTTCAGGGATGGGAGAAGAGGAAGGTGGAATGAACAAAAGAGCGTAGCAACTTTAGAAATTGACAAGGAATGAAATAAAGGGAAGGTGATTCAAGTGTCAGTTTTATTACTAATGAGAGCCGATTTAAAGGATAGGATGAGGCCGAGATGAGCAGGAATAATAGGTTTCTTCTCTTTGAACCCCAGAATTAGACATGCCCGCCCACTCCAGGCAGCATGGAACAGCGCTAGTTCTCTTGCGTGGGGGCCCCTCCCTGTAGGATGCTCAGTGCAAGGTGTTTGCTCCTAGGATTAGGAAGAGGGAAGGGACTCAGCCACACAAGCGTGCCCCTTCCCCCAACTCAGTAATCGTATAAGTCACACCACCTCCCTGTGGGGAGAGGCAGGAGGCTAAGAGTTTCCAAGGAGCCTCCCTGGAAACAAGTATCCCCTTCCTCTTGGGCAGATGAGAGAGGGGAGGTGTCAAGAGGCTGACTCTTTTGGAACTTCAGTCTGTGAAGTTAAATTTTCTGTGTCTGGGAAGTTGAGAGAATAAAAGGAGGCATATGTAAAGCACCAACTATGGAGACTGGCAACCTGGCAGTGTAAATGCTAAAAAAATTTTAAAAAGTAAAATAGCAATTCCATTCGATCTTCATTTGGATAACTCCACATGTTCCTTCCACTTCTGATCTCCCGATGTTTAGATATCTGTGCCAGAAATTATAGAGACTTGGACTTACGATTTTTGTAATGCAGGAGAAAATTAACTAGTTAATTTGTTGCTCAATTTGGAAATTAAGCAGTCAAACCCATTTAGAGTACCGGAGGCTGATCCTGAAGAGCTCAAGATCCCAGGGAGGATCTTGAGGAGCAGAGGGCAGGAGCCACAGAGGAGACCAGTAGGAAATGGAGAGGCCAGAGACCAAGGAGGAAAACTAGGAGAGCAGACCGCACAGAAGTCAAGGAAAGGGATCATTTCAGGAAGGAGGGAGGAGTCAATGTGTCAGATGCTGCAGAAGGACCTGGTTGGGTAGGACAGGAGATGAACCTGTAGAGAAGACTATAGCCATTATTAGCTCCCAGGTATGGAGCACTTACTATATGCTAGGCACTGTACTATTTGCTCTTGTACAATATCAACTTAATTCTCAAACCGCTACCCACATTTTATAGATGAGAGCCACGAAAGTTTAGTGCCAGCTTGACTTAGGTCACATACTGGAATGTGACGTAGCTGGGACTCAGATCCCTGCCATCTCTTATCTATGGAGCTTCCCTTCCTTCTGGAAGATTGCTTTTGCCCATGTGTCGGGGGAGCAGTGTGGGTTGAGACGGAGGCCGGCATGAGGGGCGGGCAATGAGAGGAGAGCAAGGGGAGGAGGGTAGGCTGACGTTTGTCTGGCTTGGTTGGTTGGTTTGCTTTGAGACGGCAGAGACTTCAGCGCTAATCACGGATGACAGGGGCTCAGAAGAGAGCTGGAGAGTGGAGGCATTCAGAGGAAATGTAGAAGAAGGGGGCAGGTGCGCATGTGGAGGGGTTAACCTTCGGAAGGATTCGGAAGGAGAGCCCCCTCCTCCTTTGTGACAGGAAAGAGCAGAAGTAATTGAATTTGTAGGTTTAATGTCAGAACATTGAGGAAGTTTTCTTCTGACTGTTCTCATTTCTCTCTATCCCTCCCACTCCTCCCCATTCCCCATCACTTTCCCCTTTTCTGTCTGGAACATCCAGCCTCCCCTTCAAGTTTTTGTTTTTGTCACTTTCCTGTGCTCTCAGACAGGATTATTTCCTCTGGGTTTCCAGGGAGCCCTTGACATCTATTCCATCCATAGACACTGCCACGCACGCACCCACAGGACACACCCCTCACCTGCTGGCTGTGACTTCATGCTAAGGGAGCATGAAAAAATTCAGTTTGCTCTAAGACATGGGACCACTCTGCAGGAGCTTATAGCTTGGACAGGGACAAAGAAGTACACAAATGTTTTTAAGAAAAGCCACATGCGAGAAGGGAGGGTGCTGTGGACTTTATTTAGGAGTGGGGTGGAGAGGGGGAGAAAAAGAGAGGCTGGTTGCATGAGTGATATGTTGAGAAACTATAAGGAGTATGGTTTTGATCTGGTTGTTGAAGGACAGGCATATTTTCAACTGACAACCATAGGAATAGGCCTTAATATGGGGGAGTAGCATCAAAAATGGCACAAAGCTTATTTGAGGAACATGGGATGGTCCACTTGGGCTGAAGGGTAGGCTATAGCCAGAGGGATTTGGTCCGTGATGCAATAGAAGGGCTTGAGTGCTGAACTAAGAAATTTTGGCACCATTGAGAGTAGCTTCCTCTTTTTGTATTTACCTGATCAGAAACATTATAGACATATACAAAAACTGTTTTAAGCAGTCCTTTGGACTTAGCCAAGAAGTTGCACCTAAGAGTTTAGAAGGCGCACCTACCATTTTCATTCCAGAAACTAGGTATACCACTGTTCACACAGTCCCCTAGCAACACCTTTGAGCGTACTGACTGTGTCACGCTGTGGATGGGAAGGTGAGCCAGCAGTGAGCTTGTGCTTGCAGTTGTAGCATTGGGACCAACGCTAGGTTTCTCTCTACTTGTAAATCACTATTCTTGATAACTATTTCTAGACAAAAATAAAATAAAAAATAAAAACCTCTTTTTTCTTTCAGTTAAGAAAAAGAAGCCTAAACTATTAAATAAATTTGATAAGACTATTAAAGCTGAACTTGATGCTGCAGAAAAACTCCGTAAAAGGGTAGGTTGATGTTTTTGTTTTACGCAGAAACATGCAATGGTTTAGTTGTTACATAAACTCCAGCATTACTCTTGATTTGTTAAAAAAAAAAAATGTTATGAGCAACAACCTTTGAATAGAGTGGGTTTTCTCCCAGGGACATCAGCATTCTATGTGAAATGAATCAATGGGAAAAAAAAATTGCAGCTGTAATGGCCAGAGAGAAACAGAGCTTACCGCCAGGGCAGCTGCCTGGGAGTCAGCCCACCTCCATCACGTTCTAGCATGTGGCTTTGGGCAAATCGCTAGCCATTCTGAGCCTCAGCTTCTTATTTTAAAAAATGAGAAAAATAATAATCATACTTCCTATTTGGTTTTTGTAAAAAAATCAAATGAGAGCAGGGGAAATAAAGTATCAATATTGTCAAGTATCATATAAGTGGAGGTTTTAATTTTATAGCATCTCAACTGAAAAGATAAAAAATAGTTAAGTCCTGTACTGTTAGGATAGTTACTGTTAGGTGAAATGGCATTAGGTTTAACATTCGTCTCACTTGGGGTTTCAGGGTGGCTTTTATATTTTGCTTTATCATCAGTTAATTTGAAATCTCACTTGGATTTGTTTCTAGATATTGCAATTTTTGAAAACAGTGAATTGACAACTAGCTTGAAGTTAGCTCTCTTAACTCATCATATTCATCTAATTATCGGGTCAAGTATTTATTTTAATGTATGTAATGACACCTTCACTTAATCACCTTCTTCAGGGAAATTTCTCTTTCTCTACTCTGTACTTGAATTTATACTCAGTATAATGCTCATTAGTTTTCCTGTAATATGCTCTTTTTATCAGTAGACATTGGCTGCCAAGAAAAGGACCTTGGGACAGTAAGTAAATAAGCAACAACAATATAAAAAATAAAAATACCCACATTAGAAACTGATGTGAAACAAGAATGTGTTTCTCACACATTTTTTGGGAATGTATGTACCTGCAAGCATGAAGGGTTCCATGTGAGCATAAGGCAAGGTTTTGCTTGCTCTCATTACCAGCCAATAAGAATGTTGTAACTCCAAAGAATATTGCAGCTAAGCCATTGTTCAGTAAATTAACCCCACGGAATGGGGAATTTCTGAATATACCTTGTTCAACTTTATAAAATGAAGCCACCTACTATTTTCAGGAAATTTGCATTTCTTAATAGAAGTGAAGCAGGAATCTTCTTTTTCTACTACCTTGTTTGTCTTTCTCCACTTCCTGTCTACTAAATACCATGTACGCAAATGTGGAATGCCTATTCATAGGTGATTTCTGAGATAAAGAACAAAAAGTTTTAGAGAAGGACTTTTATGTAATTATAATGAGTGATAAAGAAGGGCTTAGTTGCCAAGAGGCAGATAGTTCAGTGGGACATAAACCTGCTGGAGCAATCAATGGGGTATTCTCTGGTTTTTGCTTATTTGGAGAACTTATGATGCTTTCTTCAAGGAGTACCCTGTGTCTATAACAGGGTACATGAAGGAGGAAGAAGAGGCAACATAGGCAATTCTTGCTTCTGAAACATCAGGAAGCCAAATCAGTGACTGAGTTATCAGCATAATTAAGTCTTTTTGGGTTGTTTTATAGCAAATGATTCAAGCGACTGCACTTGGAAGGTAAAGGTGTGGCTGAGGCAAGCCCTAGGCAGAGGAAGCCTGGTCTCAGCCCACGTTCTAGCTTCAAATACTGTGCCATATGAAGTAATGAGGTCACTTTTTTTTCCTTCAAAAATGTATAGATCAGAACCTACTTCAATAATCTGGTTTAAAAATATAATATTTATTATTTAAAACTCCTTTTCACCTCAAGAAAAACATTTGAAATTATATGCTGAAAGTTTGTTTATTTGTTGGATTCATCTATTATTATTATTATTATTATTATTTATTGTTTTATAAGTGAAATAAAAAAAGAGAGAGAGAGAAGAAAACTTGAAGCCAGAATAAGGCCAACACGAGAACGGTCACCCCACGGGCTATAAACAGTGCTAGGAATGAAACAGACTGTAGGCAGAATGAGGGGAGCGCCATTGCACTGCAAGACGAAGCCTGTTCATCAGAACAGCTGATCTGCACCAGGTCCACAGAGAACCATCTTGCTGTAGATTTTTGTAAAGGGTCTAATGATGGACTGACTGCACCGCCTCTCCCTTCGTGTCCCACCCACAGAGTCTTCCTCTGCAGGGGCATCGCTTACTGTCCTGCATACCACTGGCCTCATGCCAGAACAGTGGGTCCCAAGTACACGTCTCTCCAATGAACTGTCTTGGTCTTAAGATAAAATATAAGGTATATTGAAGAACAGATGACTTTCAGACAATTTTTACAAGCATTGTCTCTTGCAGTTGAGTTTTTTAAAATAAGAATATCATAATAGTGTTAGGAGATATGTTCTCTAGTAAGAACCTAGGGAAGGGAAATTTTTTCACAGTAAGAGCAAACACATTTACTTTGACAGATAGTACCTTCTTAAGAAGGTCATGAAGCCTCTGTCATAAGGGGATCCAAAGGACATCTAGGACAGAGCCAAAATATTCTGTTGTATTTATGACCTTGATGGCCAACTAAGGAAATGTCAAACAGAAACAAAATACGTTAGCAAATTTATTATGAATATTGTTATTCCTATATTTCAAATCTGGTAATGGTGTATTTAGCATGACTTTCACAAGTAGAGCCTTAACATTTGCATTTTAAGTTGCATAAGGCTAAAAATGGTCCCCCAAAGATATCCATCTCCTTATGTCTATTAAGGACCTGTTACTCCATTTGGAGAATGGGTCTTTGCAGGTATGATTATGTTAAGGATCTTGAAATGTAGAGATGGGCTCAGTTATCCAGTTGGGCTGTAAATGCAATCGTATGTTTTCTTATAAAAAAGAGGTGGAAGGAAATTTGAAACAGAAAGACACACACAGAGAGGAGGAGGCAAGATGAAGACAAAAGTGGAGATTGGAGAAAGGCATCCACAAGTAAAGAAATGCTGTCAGGAGGCAAGGGACAGATTCTCCCCTGGAGCCTCTGGAGGCAGCATGGCTCTGCGACATCCTGATTTCTGCCCAGTGAAACTGATTTGGATTTCTGTTCTCCAGAACTGTGAGAGAATAACTTTCTGTGGTGTTAAGCCATGAAGTTTGTGCTAATTTGTTATAGCAGCTATACAAAACTAATACTGAGCAGTGGGGTACTGCTGTAGCAAATACTTGGAAATGTGCAAGTGACTTTGGAGTTGTATAAGGAGTAGAGGCTGGAAAAATTTTAAGAAGCCAAAGCCTGGATTATCTTAAGCAGACCGTTGGTAGAAATACGGACGTTGAAGCTGCTTCTGGTGAGGACCCAAAGGAAGTGAGGGGCACAGTAGAGAAAGCTCCTATTCTTTTAGAGAATGCATATATCATTACAAACAAAATATATTAATCTGAGTCCAGATATAGACAGTAAAGGCACCCTGGCAAGGGCCCAGAAGGAAATGAGGAACATGTTATTGAAAACTAGAGAAAAGGTAGTTCTTGTTACATGGTGGCAGAAAACTTAACAGAATTGTATCTTGTAGTCCTTTGGAAGCAAAACTTCTAAATGATGAACTTCGATATTTAACTGAGGAGGTTTTTTCAAGTAGTGTGTTGAAGGTATGGCCTAATTTCTTTCTGCTGCTTATAGTAAAATATGAAAGGAAAGAGATAATTAAGGAAATAAAAAACAAGACATGATAATTTGGGAATTTCTCAGCCTGTCCATATTTCTAAAGATGACAAAATTAGGAAATGCACTATTAGAAAAGCATACTTCGGAGAGAAATTCAAAGGTGGGACTAGACATCCTTTTCCTGAAGAGATTAGATATGTAACTCTTGGATCCACTCAACCATCTCATCAGAAGCCAAGAATAGAGATGGGATTATCCTGGGAGGGTCTGTGACTCTTGTCTAATGGTGTGTATTTCTGAGACATACACAAGAGACCTATAAGGTTTTTGAGAATGTAATACCAGCAGAAGCACTGAAGTGAAAGAGACAGGACATACTGAAAAAAAGGCTGACAGACTCTCAACATTCTATAGGCAAGAAACAAGCCAAGGAAACTAACCAACTGCAAACCCATGCTACCCTTTCAATAGAAAGGAAAGATAACTCTGTAGGCAGAGCCTCGGACTCAGAGGCCAGAGACAAGGAAGCCAGAGCAGAGGACTCAAGGAGGGCAGAGCGTGGAGCCACAGACCTTGGAAATCTAATGGACTTTGCCTTGCTGTATCTTGAAATTGCTTGGAATCAGTGATACCTTGCTTTCATCCGTGGACTATAAATATCTATAAACATTATCCAGTGCTTATCTCACCATGTGTATTAGAAACAGATAATTCATTTTCTACTTTCACAGATCTGAAGATGGATAAGAATTTTACCCCAAAATGGACTATAAATAGAGTCTCACCCATCCATGCTTTGGATGAATTAGATGATGAGATTTGAAACTTTGGAGTTAATGAGATTTACATGAGATTTCAAATCTGAGTTGATAATGTAGTATTGGAGACCTTGGCAATACTGGAATGGGTAAATCTTCTGTGAGACAGATGTGAATTGTTGGGGGCCAGAGGGTAGGCTCTGGTATGCTGAAAAGTGGCTTCCCCCAAAGATAATCATGTTCTAGCCCCTGGACCTGTAAATGTTAGCTTATTTGGGAAAAGGGCTTTTGCATGTAACTATGAAGGAGATGTTTTCCTGGATTATCCTGGTAAGCCCTGTAATAGCCAGGGTTCTCCAGAGAGACAGAACCAATAGGGCATATGATATATGGAGACCAAGTCCCACACCCTGCCATCTGCAAACTGTAGAACCAGGAATGCCAGTGGTGTAACTGAGTTTGAGTTTGAAGAACTGAGAAGCAGAGCACCGATGGTGTAGGTCTCAATCTGAGACTCAGGAGCGCCTATGTCTGAGGACAGGAGAAGGTGTATGTCTCAACTCAAGCAAAGAGAGTGAATTCTCCTTTCTCTGCCTCTTTGTTCTATTCACGACCTCTCCAGATTGGGTGATGCCTACCCCAGTGATGAGAATGGTCTTCTTTATTTCCTCTGCTGATTCAAATGCTAATCTCGGGACACCATCACAGACAAACTTAGAAATAATGTACTAGCAGCTATCTGGACATCCCTTAGCCCATATTTTGACACAAAAAAATTAGTCATCATAGGCCCCCAATTTGTCCTTTCAATAAAGAGGCAGATGGAGATTTGATACAGATAGAAAAGAAGAAACCTACGCAGGGGGAGAAGGTGATGTGAAATGGAGGCAGACTAGGACGATGTAGCCACATGCCCAGGAATGCTAACAGCCATCAGAAACTGAAAGAGGCAAGCAACAGATTCTCCCCCAAAGCCTTCAGAGGAAATGCAGTCCTGCTGAAACCTTGATTTCAGCCCAGTGAAACTGACTTTGGACTTCTGTTCTGCAGAATTGTGAGAATTAATTTTTGTTGCTTCAGACCACCAACTTTGTGGTAATTTGTTATAGCAACCATGGGAAAATAATACAGGGTAGTTAGAAGAAAGTCACATAGAAAAAGATATTTTATATGAATTCTTCACTCTTTAGAATTATTCATAGAAGAAACAAAGTAGTGGTTTTAAAAACTGATCATTTTCCAAAATACACAAAGAACTCATAAAATTCAACAATAAGAAACCATGAGCTAAAGACCTTAACAGACACCTGACCAAAGAAAATATACAGATGACAAGCGTAAGATGTTCCATGTCATATGTCATCAGGGAAATGCAAATTAAAACAACAGTGAGATGCCACTACACACCTATAAGAATGGCCAAAATCTGATCACTGGCAACACCGACTGCTGGCAAGGATGTGGAACAGGAACTGTCATTTAGTGCTTGTGGGAATGCAGAATAGTACAGCTGCTTTGGAAGACAGATTTGTGGTTTCTTAAAAAACTAAATATACTCTTATACAATCTAGAAATCCCATTCTTCTTTAATTACCCAAAGGATTTGAAAATTTATATCCACACAAAAACCTGCACATGGATGTGTGTAGCAGCTTAATTCATAATTGCCAAAACTTGGGAACAACCAAATGTCCTTTAGTAGGTGAATGGATGAATTAACTGTTAACGACAATTAAGTATTACTCAGCACTAAAAAAAAAAAAAAAAAGTAGTACTCTCAAGCCATGAAAAGGTATGAAGGAAACTTAAATGCATATTATTAACCAAAATAAGCTAATTTGAAAAGGCTTCCTACTATATGATTCTAATTATATAATATTCTAGAAAAAACAAAACAATGGAGACAGTAAAAAGATCAGTGGTTTCCAAGGGTGAGTGTTGGGGCAGGGCGTGGGAGAGAGAGGAATAAATAGGCAAAGCATAGAAAATGTTAGGGCAGTGAAGCTAATCTGTATGGTACTATAATGGTGGATACAGACAGTATGCATTTACCTAAACCAAAACAATGTACAGCACCAAGTATGAACCCTAAGGTAAATCATGGACTTTGGGTGACCATGATGTGTCAATGTAGGCTCATTGATTGTAACAAATACAGCACTCTGGTGCAGGATGTTGATTGTGGGGCAGTCTGTGCTTGTGTTGGGCTAGGGGGTATATGTGAAATCTCTATACTTGCCTCTCAATTTTGCTGTGAACTTAATAACTACTTTAAATTAATATTGTGAGAGGAACAGTAGTGTAGTGTCTACAAGCTCTTTATGTATGTTTTTGGATTTGACCTTTATAGCAGCTCCGTGAGATAGTCAAGGGTCCTCATTATCCCCCTGTTCCAGATGAGGCACCTAAGGCAAAGTCATCAGTAACTTATCGTAGGTCACACACCGTCTAAGTGGCGGAGTCCAGGCTCTCACCACTCAGCCTGGCTTTGGAGCCTGCTGCACGATGCACGTGTCTTTCACCAGCCCCTCACTGCCATTGATTGCCCTTGTGAGAGAGTAAAGAGAACCTTCTTCCATGGCCTCTAGGTCAAGGAATGATTATGATGAGTTTTAATGTGGAGCTTGCCTAACTCCTCTCTATTTAGTCAAGTCTTTGGAAAGAGGTGTAAGTAACAGTGGTAGGCTGTACACTTCGCTTTGCACAGCCACACTGGGAGGTAAACTTTGCTGTATGAACACTGACTCAATGAGGGGTAAAACATAGAAACTGCAGTGAGCTTGCATTTACATATGGAATGAATGGATTTACCAATTTATAGGGAACTGAGGGTCTGGGAAAGTCGGACTCAGAAAATCTGTCTCTATCCCATGGCTCCAAATATCCTTGACTTGCTCCCATCTATTGGAAATCAGGCCACACGTATGTGACCCAGGGAAATGGCAGGGATGGAACGAGGGGGGAGAGGGTTCCTCCGCCTCATGCCAAGACCCTCCCCAGGTGCACCTGCTGCACGTCCTCCATTCCTTTCCATGCGTTGGTGATCAGAGACCCATCGAAGGTGCTCGGCCCCGCTTCTTAAAGGCCTGTGTGAGCTTTGGGAGGGGTCATATGACACTGAGGCAGCGAGGCACCTCCGACAGCCAGATGAGTCAAATCAACCCTGATGTCCAGTGGGTAACAGGAATCACAGCCAAGCGGCCCTCGCATCCTGCATGCTTAGTCCCTGTCATTTTATGGTGCTTCAGACTTCTCGTCACAGGCCCCAGGGCATTCCAGCTGCCAGCAGTGTTTTTCCCCAATTTGAAATCTAAATATTTTCTTCAAGTATGCATGTAGGAATTATACATATAGAGGGAAAATGCAGTTTCTTTAACAAAGACTCCTATCATTTGTCAGGTTTCTGTCTTTTAAAAAATAAAGCATACTTATGTTCTTTCTAGTTTTGTTTCCATAATTTTTTTAAAAATTTAATTAAAACAGTTAATTTTTTAAAAATCTTAGGTAAAACTGTCTTTAAACTCAGAATGTGGGTCTAGAAAATTTTGACAGAACTACTTGGTCAATATTTAATACCATATTGAATAGCATTATGCATTTAAATTTATTGTTTTATGAAATCACCTCTTCCTAACAGGGAAAAATTGAGGAAGCAATGGCTGCATTTGAAGAACTGATTCGTAAATACCCTCAGAGTCCACGGGCGAGATATGGGAAAGCACAGGTATTCTAGAACCCTTCTACTTAAATAACTGTTTTTGATGTCCTTGTGTTCTGTATAATTGGATTTCTCACTGCCCACTATTTATTTGCATTTTCTTTTTTTCTTATAACTTTTATACAGCATCAATTTCTCATGCATTTGCATAAACTCAAGCAATAAATACTGTTTAAAATACGACAATTATTGCTATTGTGTAAAGCTGAATTTAGAGACATTTTTCTGCCCCCCTCTCCTCACCAGTATGGCATCTCTCTGGTTTTGAAAAGAATAACACTTTGGCCATTGATTTTTCTATCACTGCCTCGTCCCATTCCATTCAGACCCACTGTATAATTTTCATGTTAGGCTCCTGAGAGCTTTAAGAACCTCCGTTTGAGAGGTTGCAAGTATTGTTAGGAAAAACTTTAAAAATATAAAGTGGAATGTACTTGTGTCCTCTGTGCTTTCTTTCAGGTGACTTCTTTTTCACCAGCTACCTTTCCCCAACCCCCCTTCCACCATCTCTGTTTCTATCTGCCTTTCTCCATTTTCCAGCTCCTCACTTCATGAAGCGTGTTCACATTCATCTGTAGCTGCATAGACCCACCGTGTGCACATCCTGTGTTAGGTCCCGGGATTGTCTGTCCTGTTAGATCTTGTATTCCAGTGGCAGACATTGTAAAAGCTACTTACTCAAAAATTACTCCGTGAAAACCCACAACATGCCAGGCCTTGTTTAGGCACCGCAGGTGGAGCCATCTACAAAACATGGTGTTTCCATTGTAATGGCAAAGACAGTGCATAAGACAAAGAAGCAAAATATATACGTTTCCTAGTGATAAATGCTAATGAAAACCAACGTAAAGCAGAGAACAGCACAGGATTTGTAAGGGAGGTGAAATATAGGACAGGTTGCAGGGAAAGCTCTACTGAAGAGGTGACGTTCAAACAAAGCCTTGAAAGTCGTTACAAATAAATATATTCAAAGAATATTACAGTGTTAAAAATAAATATTAAACCCTCTTACATAATAATACATGCCATAAAGAAAAGAAGGTAATGGAATAAAGAGCATACCTATTAAGATTTGGAGGCCGCAGGTAATGTGACAGAGCAGAAAGCACTTTAGAAAAGGCAATCAGGCCCTTGCCAGTATAGCTCTGTTGGTTGGAGCATCATGCTGTACACCAAAGGGTTGTGGGTTCAATTCCTGGTCAGGGCACATGCCTGGGCTTTGAGTTCAGTCCCTGGTCAGGGTGCATATGGGAGGCAACCAACTGATGTTTATCTCTCCATTCCTTTCTCTAAAGTCAATAAACATTTTAAAAATAAAAAAAGAAAAGGTGATCAAAAAAGGCCTCTCTAAGGAGGTGACAAGTGGTTGAGACATGAGATGGTTATGAAAGGAGCTGATAGGGCAGAAGGAGCAGCAGGAGCAAAGGCCATAATGCAGGGAAACGATCTTGCCATAAGCAGCTCCGGGACAGAAAGAAGGGCTGCTAAGGGACACGAAGCACAAGTGAGGCCAGGGCCTCACAGACTGCATGCTCTGTGCGCTGGGAAGCCATTGGAGGGTGTCTGCGTGGGTGTGACTGTCTGATTTTTTTTTTTTTTTTTTTTTGTAAAGCTTGCTTTGGTTGCTGGGTGGAGAATGGATTATGGGGTCAAAAGTAGAAGTAAGAATGGGAGACTGTTGGCAGGTACACTTGAGATGCCCCGACTCAGACCGTGGTCATGGCCGTGGAGTTGGGAACTGGGCAGAGGGCAGAAGCAAAAGGACTTGATGAAGGATTACCTGTAAGGTCAGAGGGAGAAAGAGAAGTATCTGGGGTGACTCCTGGATTTCTGGTTTGGCCAGCTGAGGAGAGGATAGTGCCAGTTTCTGACCAGGAAGATTGGTAGAGGGACAGGCTTGGGAAGGTACAAAATCAAGAGTTTGATTTTGGTCCTGTTAAGTTTGTGACGCCTATTAGACATTCAGGTGGACATGTCAAGTGGATCATTAGGTTTATGGAATCTGGAACTTAGGGTAAATCCAGGGTCGATAAACGAATGTGTCAGACAGTAAACCTCCTGCCTGGTGGCTTGAGATAGATTATCGGCCTGCTGGGAAACAATAGATGCAGAGCTGCAAAAATATTCTAGATCATGGGGAAGTTAACAGCATCCCTCTGGAGGGAGTCAGTACAGTCCGTTACGTATGACACTCACACGGGGACTCACACATTATAGGCAAACAAGTACATTTTGTTCTGAACTAATAGTGAGGGCCACTGAAGATCCAGATGCTCAAATTCTTCCTACCTCCCTATTAAAAACACATTAATTAAATTTTAATGAATTACAGTTGTGAAAAATTATTGCAAATTCACATTACAGGCCAGGTTTAGAAGAAAGCCACTATATCATTTTTGTAAATTAATTTGGTCAGCAGTCCTGCAAAATTGCTAAACTGTATTGCTATTAAGCCAGACAAAATGTGTTTCCAAAGGATCATGCCTATGGAAATAAGTGATGTGTTTTGACACTAGTATTGGCAGTCATTTAGTTAAGGTAAGCATATTAGCTAGAGAGAATGATTGATGCAAATGTTAATTAAATTATTGCAGAAATGTTTTGTGCTTTAGAATTTTTCTTTATATGTGGTATTAATTATGGGTACCAAAATCCAAATAAATACACTAATTTTCGCACTTGGTGATTGTTGTATTTATATCCACATGTAACAATAGGAATTTGAGAGTTAGGCCTCAGACATTATTTTTTATCTCTAAACTATTAAACTACAAGGTGTTAATTACTGGTATTTATGTTATTGTGGCATAAAGTTAAATTTAGGCATAGTAAATTAAATTTTAATAGAATAATTTAAAGGAAATTTAAAATCCATAGGAGTTATAAAAATAAAAATTCAATGGAAGGTAGATTTAAAAAGGGGAATAAATGATGACTTTTTAGTTCTTTGTTAGCAGATTAAATTCTGGTAATTAGAATATCCCAACAAATTTTAAAAATTCAGCAATATGAAGTTAAATACAATTATTATATCATTCATTCTAAAGTAGCAGTCTTAGTCTTTGGATCACTGTGAAAATCAATTTTGACCAATTTCTCTGAACTTGAACCCCGACACAAAATCTTGTATCATAAACTCGATTCATGATATTATTTTACATGAACCATTAATGTCCCTGAGGCAGAAAATGGCACATCTCCTAGGAAAGTGGGTGGGTTAAGTCAACAAAAGCCTTTGTGATGCTAATGTCCTGGAACCAATCTTCAGCTCAAATTATTTTATCTACAGATGCCGAACTGATAAAAATCAATCTGTGTGATTTTGATTTTCAAACAAAGCCTATCATGTTCATGCAGGAGATTTTAAAGAATCAGGTGCCATTTGAATACTGATATTTTCCCAATTCTAGAAGTTGTAAAAATGTTTATAGTTATTAAAATGAAGAACCTTGAGTGGGTGGGCGGGGAAAAGAGAACAAGGCATATAGGTATCATTTTTTTTGCTCTTTTCAAAGTGAGTTTAAATATTCCTCTCTCTGTGAAGAAGGATTATCTTGGTAGGCATTTGTCCTTGCACTAACCTTGAAGAGACCCTCCAGTTTCAGGGTCTCTTGGTAGCTTGAAGAGGCTACAAGTGATGACTGTGAACTAGATGGTCTCCAAAGGCTGTCAGGCCTAGGCTCTGGCATTTCATGAAGTCACCTATAAGCCATCATGATTTGGGTGAGGTAACTCTCCACAGCCAAACTCAAAACAAACCAATGCCTTAAAAAAAAAATTTTTTTTTTAAAGCCAGCATATGAATATATGGAAAGCTATATGATCCAGATGACCAGTATGGGTCATTGACATTGGACTTCCTCTCCTGGTAGACAAGTCTATTCTGGAGATCATTTATAGGTTTAAACAGATCATTTTATGCTCTGAGCCTTTTTTCTATCAAGCAAGAGTGACACTCTTTTCTAATCTAGAGACTTTTTTGTCCTATCAATGTTTCTTTTTCATGAATCTGTCTGCTTGTCTCCATCTCCACTGCTTCAGCTCTAGCCCTTGTATTCTTGGGAGACTTATTCTAATCAGTGCATATTAGCAAGTTATTTTTTATGTGTTATTTTCTGAAAAGCTTTCCATTGATATTTTATCAATTTGAATAGATTCTTAGGAAAGGATGAATCATTTTCTTACCACATCCTCCAATTTTGGAGTTATGCTTTATTTTGCAGCATCTATACATTGACTACAGCACACACTTTATTTTTAACAAGGTAAACATATTAAATAGGATATTCCAGGAAAAAATTATATATGCTACATTTATTATCTAACTAAATGTAGTCTCCAAATTTAGTCTACTAAGTCTGATGAGATTTTGATATTCATGTTATGCATTTTCCTCTCTCTTCCTATCTCTAGTATTTCATTCCCCATTCTTGATTTCCTGCTGGGAATCTTGCTTATTTCACTAAGAAAAAAGAAGTATTCACGGAGAATTTCCACATGATTCCACTGCTGCACTAACCACCTACCTACATTTGCTCCCATGTGCTCTGCCTTCCCTCCTTTTAGCACGGATGAACTGTTCTGGTCCCCTATCCTATCCCCCCTCACTTGCTGAGGACATCATTCTAATTTTTACATCCCCCTCAGCACCACCAGATGTTCCTTCTCAATGGAGTCTTTTGCATCAATTTAGAAACATGCTATACTGTTTCCATTGTCGAAAAGAAAGAGAGAGAGAGAGGGAAAGAAGGAAGGAAGGAGAAAGGGAGGGAGAGAAGGAGGGAGGAAGGAAAGAAAGAAAGAACTCTCCCTTGTCTCCCCATTCCTTTCCACTTACTGGCCCATTTCTTTGCTTCCCTTTACAGCAGAACTCCTTGAAAGAACAGTCTGCACCTCCTTCTCTCCTGTTTTCCCTCGACCCTACTTCATTCCATCACAAGTCCCAAGTAGTCCCATGGAAATTCTTTGCCAGGACCAACAGAGGCTACACACCGTCCAATTCAACATCTTGCCCACCCTGACAGCCACTTCTAATAGAGTTGCTTACTTACTCCCTCTTGGTACTTTGTCATGTAGCCTCCAGGACACCACTTTTTTGTTGTTATTTTCTTTTCTCCTTCCTCCTTCTCCTTTTTGCTCATCTTCTGCTGTTTTCTGGTCTCTAGTGACTTTGAAACACTGCAGTTCCTTAGAGTTCTGATCTTGGACCTCGTCATTTCTCTGTCTACATTCAGAACTGCTTCTAGCTTCTTAGCTTTGAAAACCATCTCTATCTTGACAATTCTCCATTGTATGTCTCTTACCCTGACCTCCCTCCTCAACCTTAGACTCACGTATGATTCTTCTTATCCAGCATCTCTACTTAGGTACCTAGTAAGCATTGGGGTTTCCTATGTCCAGAGCTGAATTCCTGATTCTGTATGCCTGCAAACCTGCTTCTCTCCCTGTCCTCCCATTCTCAGGGAATGACAAGTGCATCTGGTAATTGCTTAAGCTCAAAATCATGATTCATCCGAGGTGTCTCTCCCTTTCTCTCATACCCTAGATTCAGACCATCTTCAAGTCTTTTGGCTCTAACCTTCAAAATATATTTAAAATCTAACCACTTCCTACCACCTCCATTACCACCACCCCAGTCAAAGCCATCACCTCTTGTCTGGAATCCAGCTAGAGCATCCCAGCTGGGCTCTCTGCTTCTCCCCCACTGACCTCAACTGTTCTCCATATTGCTGCCAACATTCCTGAGATCATGTCAACATCCCAGTGTCTTTCCATCTCACAGACAGTTAGTGTAGTAGAGCTAAAAATAGCTTACCAGGTTCTTCATTACCTGACACCCCATCCCTATCATCTCCTCCTTGCTCGCTTCCACCACCAGCCTTTTCTCTATTCCTCACTTCCACCTCACGGCCCTTACTCTGTCTGTTCTCTCAGCCTGGGACTTTCTTCCCCCAATATCCTCATGCTCTGCTCCCTTGCTTTCAGATCCTCCCTGATCATTCTGATTAAATGAACAGCTTCTCTACAACCCCCCTTCCAGCATTGCTGAGCCTGCCTTGTATTTTATCCACAGCACTTACGGTCATCAGATACATGCTGCTCTTATTTGTGTATTATCTTTCTGTCCTCTCCAGAATGAAGCAAAATGGGAAAAGGGCTTTGTCTGTTTTGTTCAGTTTGTCTGCAGCACGTATAGAATGGAGACTGGTTCTCAGAAAGTATTAGTTGTTGAGTGAATGAATGAGCATAGGAATAAACTGATGGAAGAACAGGAATGGTGGACTGGAGTCCTGTCTATATAATGTTAATGTATAACATGGTGTAAATCAACATTTAGCATATGTTAGTCTTGCTTTTAAGATACTCTTTCTTGTCTGTAGCTTAGTAGCTAACCTTCCACATTTTTAGAATAGCATGTTGTATTGCTTTTCTTTGTGTATTATTTTAGTCTCTTTATAAAAAGAAAACTTATCTGTCTTGAGTAATTTTCAAAGCATGTACAAAAGTAAACTTTTCATGAGTATCTTGGGTGACTACAAATACAGCTTGTCCTGGGACATTGACTCAGTGTGGGACTTCCTCTAGTGTGAAGATGATTTGGCTGAGAAGAGAAGGAGCAATGAGGTGCTTCGCAGGGCCATCGAGACCTACCAAGAGGTGGCCAGCCTGCCTGATGTCCCCGCGGATCTGGTGAGGCTGAGTTTGAAGCGGCGGTCAGACAGACAACAGTTTCTAGGTAAGACAGAATAAGGAAAGCTAAATCAATGGCGTATACCATGCTTTTACCTGGAAGAGCCTGAGGGCTACGTGTACTCTTAGAAGGGTCTAGTTACATGGAAGGAAACCTGAGTTCTATAACTAGTATCAGGCAATTTGCCTGACTGTTTATTAGAATAAAATAATAATCCTAACCTTGACAATCACAAAGATACCAATGGTATTTTTACCCCCTTTCCCTCCTCACCCTACCCAACCCATTATAAAGCTGAGGTAAACAGGATGCTGAAAGGCTGGGTAATTTGCCTAAGGAGTTATAGCTAATCAGTTAGTAGGTCTAAAATCAAAAACTCTACCTGTCATGCTAAATTCTTTTCTCTCTTAATAAGACCAACTTGATTCATGGAGGTTAAACTGATCAGTGGGACAATATTTATAGAGAACTATTAAGAGGTCCAGACACTCTAAAATTTTACTTGTAAGGTTTGACTCTATACCAAGGAAAATGATAGAAAAAAAATTTTAATGACTAAGTGCTTTGAAAAGAGCAGCATAAAGTATATCCTCGTAGTGACCCAGATTCCCAGAGCCAAAGGCTGTGAGACCAGCTGTAACTTACCTTCATTATAACCAGGCTGTGATTCTGCCCCTCTTAATATGTCTTCTGTAAACTGGGAAGGAAGAATCTGAGCCAATGCTAAGGTGGGTGCTCGGCTGGCTGGGTAAGTTACATGAATGAATCATTGATGGCACTAGGAGAGGCTCATATAAGTAATATCCAAGGCCAACTGACTCTTTTATCAGTTTTTTAAGGAATGGAATTAAAGGTAGTGTGTCACTTTGGTACGTGACCAAAATCTCTCATAGGAGATGACCCAAGTGATAATTAAAAAACAGAAGAAATGGCCAATAAGACTTATATTCCTACTGTCAGTTTGGCGGAAGAAAAGCATGTGGCACACACACCACATAGAAAAGGCAGGGCCGGGACTCACGTGGAGGCACTCGTCTTGGGTGCAAAGGCTGTATTACTGAGCTGTCCTCTTGCCTCAGGCTCCGGTACAGCTCTGTTTAGCACTGGCTACTGGCTTTCTCCTTAAATTTTTGATATTTTGTTCATCATATATTTTTACATTAGTTTTTAAAAAATCTTAATTGATTTTAAAGAGAGAGGAAAGGAGAGAGAGAGAGAGAAACATCGGTCTGTTGTTCCACCCATTTATGCATTCATTGGATGATTCTTGTGTGTGTCCTGACTGGGGATCAAACTTGCAACGTTGGCATATCAGCATGACACTCTAACCAGCTGAGCTAGCTGGCCTGGGAGATTTTACATTAATTTTGATATGTAGAAGCATACATAAAAATCTCTCATCTAGATTACTGAATTTTTGGCACCCTCTTGAACTTCGCACTGAGTGCCTCACTTACCTTATTTATCCCAGCCGTGGGGGAAGGACTGCCTGTGACTAAATCTAACCCCCTTCCGCAGCAGTCTTTAGCTTTAGTCCTTTCCTCTGAGTGAGAATGAGGCCAGTTTGGTAAGGGAGGCCCTGGGAGGAGGGAACTATATGCAGAAGACGTCAGTGAAGGGGATGTAGCGCTAAAGTTTACGCACAGTAGAACAGGGTTCCATGATGCAGAGTGGGAGGCGCTGGCGGGGGCAGGGAGGGATGGCAACAGGAGGGATTTTCATGAGGGGCTTCATAGCGGTTAACAGGGAAGGTTTAGAAGCAGAAGAAAAGTGTGAGATTAGTCTGGGCAGATGGGGGAAAGAAGATGACTCAGATTTGTCAGTGAAGGAATGAATAGCTGAGCAAATCCAGCCCAGATTGGCCCGATTTAATGGAGAGCCAACCATGGGACAGGCTGGTGATATTTTGTGCCCAATAATTTGTCTATTTTGGAGGCTATAGCTGTTGATGGTTCTAAAATATTCTTAATTAATACACAGTTTGTGGGCAAGTGAGCCCTTTAGGTAATTAATTTTGTCATGTATACTAATCTTATCTTGTACATTTTCTCATATTCAATTTGTCTTACCAACTTTGGTGAGGAGTAATGACAATTGACCCCAGAAATTTTAAATTTCCATCAGATAGCCTTAAAAATTAATTGAAGCTGGTGTTCCCATGATTCGTGTGTGCATAGTATCCTGTCGTCCACCAGAGGGTCCCATAACACTGGGAGATGTCTCCTTAGCTACCTGAAGAGGTTCTTGCCTGGAGACGAGGACACTTTAATTTGAAACAATATCAGCAGGGTATCTCAGTGCCTCTTCAAATTCCACACAGGGTTCTAGATTTGGGCAAATCAGTTAGATTTTTAATTTATCGGTTCTCTATTCATATTTTTTCTATTCATAATTTTAAAGCTAATCATAATAAACCAAAAATATCTCAGTGCAACTTCGTTTTTTTTACAAGGAATTGGTAACTAAAACTTTATCAAGACTGAAAATGACATAAAAAAGTAAATGTTGATGAATTTAGAAAATAAGACTGTCTTTATAGTACTTATAATCAGTATTATATTTAGTATCTATTTGTAGGAGTTACTGATACCATTGCAACTGCATGATGAAATCCTAGTAGGTACTTAGCCATCTGTATATAGGGTCAAGTTTAAGCTGGTCTTCAGGATCTGTTGAATAGTCTGTCTTGACTTAAGTCTCAATATAAAAGTGTACATAATCTGTTTTTATTTCTATTGGGTTCTTTTTTTTTCTCTTCCCACCAAATCAGGTCACATGAGAGGTTCTCTTGTTACGCTACAGAAATTAGTTCAATTATTTCCTGATGATACTTCCTTAAAGAATGACCTCGGAGTGGGGTATCTCTTGATAGGAGATAATGATAATGCCAAGAAGGTTTATGAAAAGGTGAGCAAGCAGCAATCTTCTATTAACTATATCAAATTATATTGAACATAAAATTCTAACGTTATTTGTATATTGCAAATAATGCACACAATTTCTCACTCTCTTTATTTTAAATTAAATTAAATAGCATGTATTATGATAGTGGACTTCTTCATGTTGTTTTCACATCACTCTTTTTCCCTCGATCAAAGATTTTCAATTTTAATTGTCAGTTGGTACATCAAAACTTTCAACCTATAATTGTAGTACTTTTAAAACTTCATTTTTTTCAGCCCACAGATAGCCTTTCTAAAAGTGTTCTCTATGATAGGAAGAGAAACTCAAGTTTTTCCTAAATGTAGAAACACAGTCTTTTCCTTTTTTCACTAGAAGGCTGGTCTACAGAGAGCTGACGGAACTTGAGTCTGTTGGGCGCAGGGAGTACATGACTCTCCTCTCAGAGGGCGCTGACGCCGATCCTCTGCAACAGTGTCTTTCAAAGGATTTCTGCCTTGCAGTGGACATCTTAATAAGTAACCTCTAGGTCACAAGTAACTATAAAATCTAGAAAACCATGACTCCTTCAAGAGATGAGGGAATTCATTTGGTGTGAAGTAAACAGGGTACCAAGCAAACTTTGAAGCTAGAGGAAGTTAATGCCTCTGTAAAAGAAAGATGAACACATTTATTTGTTGTCGTTTAATTTAGCCTTTATGTCTGTGGTTTTCCAGTTGGCGCTGTTTACATCAAAATGCTACTCCTCAGGGAGAGCCAGTATGGTTTCTTCTGTTTTGAAAATGCTGGCAAGCACAGTGTAGTGATTTCATACCCAGTCTAGGGACTGGTCTGCTCATAAAGGGGTGCTTTCCTCCTTTTATTGCTATAGATGCTTAATTGAAAAATCATTGAATTTTGGAGCAGTTGTCTCTTCACCCTTGTCATAATTTTTATCTTTTCTGAGAGAACGGAAGTAAAACCTTTGCTTTTTATAGCATCTCGAATAACTACACAAAGTGGATTCATCCTGCAGTATTGAAAATGTGTGCCATCTACTAACATACCTGTTCCAGATCACAAAACATGTCCATGTGGGGCATCGTATTTGCTAACAGCCAAAGCATGATACTGAGTGCCCTGTCTAGCAAAGTTCAGTTAAGGGATGTATCATATATCTCAATGATTCAAGATTCTATGAATGTAAGAATTGTTAAACTATATTTGATACGCCCATTAACCTGCCACCGTCAGAGACCACAAAGGTAGAACTATAGAATTAATTCCTCCCTCCTTCCCTTTCTTCTTCCAAAAATCATGAGCAAGTACTGACTGAGTACCAAGCACAGGTGAGGTTAGGGCAAGATCTGAAGACATACTAGTTTCCCTCACCCACTATGGATTTGCCCTTCCTCACCCTCCCAAAATCTTCCTTGAATATATTCACTCTTTTTCCTGATGCTAAATCTCAGATACTGAAACATTTTCCTTCATCTTGAAAAATAAAATTTCCCTGCTGTTGTTTATATATTTGAAATCATAATCCCATCTGAATAAGCACAACAGGATGCAGAATGTCTAAAATACAGTCATATAATACAATCGAGTGGGTTTCTTTTTAAAGAAGCATTAATAGACTGAAAATATGTGTGGGGTTTGCCTTTTATTTCCTCCTCTCACTTCAGAGTTAATAAGCTGTGTCTAATGGATTCTCTTTCCTTAACCACAGTTTATCCTGATATGTTATGGCTCAGTCAAAGATCATCTCCAGAAAACTGATACTGTAATTTTATATTTTTTCATGTTGATTTTAATCTTTGGGTAAATTTATAACAATTATTGACCGTTTCCTTTCTGGATTTCTGCTGCATTTAGTTTCAGCAAAGACTGACTTTAAAATGGTTAGAGGTAGATTGCTCACATCTGCAGCTCTAGGAGGCGCTCCTGCTTTAGTAACACTGCCAGTCAGCCAACGTCCGCTCTTCTTACTTCTCACACACGTCCATTCTTAGTCAACACCTATTTATTGAAACCAGTCACACAGCTTGGGAAATGGTTGCTAAAGATACAAGCATAGAGTGTCCTCGTGGAGTCTACAGTCCAGTGCCAATTCACTAATTTCTCTTAATTTTTGCTTCTGAATATCTTTCAAATCCCCTCCATTTTTAACTCAGGCACTCATCATCCGTTGCCTACTAGACATGTTTATCCTGTACAAGGCTGTCCCCTCCGGCCTTCGTGAACACAGATCACAAATCTGACCATCCCGTTCTCGTCTTTAACTCTTCAGTGGTTCCCATTGCCCACAGCAGTGGTCCCCAGGCATGTTTGAACGTGTAACCTTCCAATAAAAAATGTTCAAGCAAATAAATACCGGTGAAATGTATGTTTGTGTATATGCTATGTATACATGCGTATGTACTAATGTATGATGGTCGTTGTAGAAGGTACACAGTCCAAAAAAATTTTAAGAGGAAATAATATTTCAGATACTTTTTAACTTTCATTTAACTGCCAAATTTTTTTTCATTCTTTCTGAAAAATATAATATTTTAGTAATAGCAATCAATATGCAATAATATTTATGATTATATGATTTCTAAAATTTCTGGTAATGTGTCATGCAGAGTTTGTGCTGGGACTATAAATGTCAGCTATGCCATTTTCTTTCGTTGTTCTCTGTGGTTCGTGTACAGGCGTGTGTGTGTATATGTGTGTAAAGAGAGAAAGAATCTGCTACATTGTTAGTGTTAACATCAGTCTGGGTTTCTTAGAAATCTTATAAAGCCACTTGTCCTTTTCTGAGGGTTTGTTGATTATAGTTGGATAATACAACCTACACACCCATCACACATTCACATGTGAACCACGACAAGCACAGTAGGTGATCATAATGAATCAAGCAGAGAGGGCAGCATCTGGTTGCCTGATCACCCGCCCTCCCCTCTCCGTTGCATGCGTATCAATGGGATGTGCGACTGTCCACCAAGCACAAGAGAGGAGAGCCCAGAGCCTGTTGCATATTGAATACTGTATTTCAGAGACATGCAAACAGAAGCATTTTCATTATCTGCTCCCTGGTGGGTTATCTGGTATGTGAAACTCCCTCTTCAATCTCATTCCCTTTTGCTGTTCCTGGCCCATGGTTCCCTTTCACCCACTTTCTCCTCTGCCTTGAATGCCTCTGCCCCTTCTGTCTCCCAGCTTCCTTTCCCTTGTGAACTCCTGTTCATTACTTACTACCTTTCAGACCTTGCCCTGGCACACCCACCCCAGAGTGAGCAAGTGCCCCTCCTCTGTGCTCCCTGCATTCCTCACTCCTATCGCTGCAGTTATACTGCCCACATGGCATTACTGTTGTCTGCCTATGACCCATTCCCTTAACTGAGAGCTAACTGAGAAAAGCAAGTATATCTCATTTTTGGTATGTATGCCCAGAGCCTAGAAGAGGTTCTGTGTGTTCTAAAATATCTATTAAAGGAGTACATTTGCTAATTACTTGAGATGATGGCCGTGTGTCTACAGGAGGCAGAAACATCATCTGTGTAGCTGAAATAATTATAATAATCCCTTCAGAGTTATGCTACCAGAAACATGATTGGCCTCAGTTCAGTTCCCTTTTAGAGGTATTTGCTGAGCTCTTGCTCAGCACTTTTCTTGGTAACAGGTACTGTGGAAGGTGCAGAAAAAGCAGAGTCTGTGCTTTCGGGGATCTGATTGGGGAAGAAACCCTGCGTGCACCCATCCATTCAGTCAATGCAGATTTCTTGAGGACTTGCCATGTGCCGGGCACTATTCTAAACACTGAGGATCGGCAGTGAATGCAACAGGCACAATCCCTGTAGCACTTATTTTTCGGTGGCAGAAAATAAGTCAAATGGAAATGAGTGCCATGAATAAAAAGGAGTCAGGATAAAGAAGTTAGAAAACCAGCAATGAGGGTGGGGGTGTCGGTTTTACATCGGCTGTTTGGGTGATGGAAACCTTTGATCGAGGACTTCCTCAAGGTGAGGGAGTGAGCCATTTGGATATCTAGGAAAGACTGAGGGCAAGGAGCACCGCAGGTGCAAAGGGCCTGTGACGAGCGTGCTTTTGGCTCGCCTTACGGCAGTCAGGAGTGCAGGGTGCCTCAGAGTAGCTGGTGAGAGGCCAGAGAAGTAGGGAATGCGGTCTTACTCTGAGAGAAGTGGAACCCCTTTGGGTTTTGAACAGAGGGTGGATGACATCTGACCTAGGATTAGTGAGTCCATTTAGGGCCCCATGTGGAGAATGGGCACCAGGAGAGCAGGGCTGGGGGTGCAGCAAGGGGAGAAATGATAGACTTGGACCAGGGTGGCCGCAGTGGAGGAGGTGACAAGGGGTATGATTCTGAATATATTTTAAAGGTAACGTTGGCTGGATTTGGCAATGAATGGGCTGTGGGATGGGATACAAGCTGGGAAAATGCTCAAGTGTCTGCAGTGCATTCTGTGGACTCGCCAAGTACGTGGAGACCCTCCTGCACGCCTGCTCCTTCTGTGCAAGGAACCCGTCTTGGCCGTGTGCCCCTTTTCTACTCAGACTCAAGAAAAAAGAGAAGCTACAGGATATTCACTCCCAAACCTTCTTCATCTTTCACTTTTGTTCTGTAAATCAGTTTGTCTAAGGAGTTTCACGAGTTGAATGTTATTGTTTTGATCTCTCACTGCTAATATTTAATTTAGAGGCATTTTGAATAATTCATCTGAATCATAATAAATGCAGAAGATAAGAAACTATGGTTTGATTTATTTTACATGTTTACCTGGGTTTTATCACAGCTTGCTGTATTTGCTCACCACCTTATCCTCAGTCCTTAAAATGGTCTGGACCTTCAAGAAATATAGGTTGAATCGATGGATCATGACATATTACAATGGAAATCTAAATTTTCTGTTAATTAAGGCAATGTATAAAGCATGTATGTAAAGAAATGTATAATCATTCAGAGTTATCTTTAAGGTAGGAAATTTATAGTAGTTTTTCTTGATTACTGAAAAAATATTGAAGTCATAAAAATTGACAGATGTTTTGCTGGTTTGCATTGTTGAAGTACTGCTTTGACAGTCATTGCCTTTCCACATTTCTTTCTTCATTCTTGAAGAGCTAATGTGGAAATGTGAAACCATTGAGCTGAGAGGAAATGGGGCCATTTAAGCCTAATATATTGCAATGAGACAAAACACGAGTGTTTCAAGCTGTAACATCGTAATTCAAGTACAGCAAAGCTAATTAAAATATGTTTTGACAGTCATTTGTAGAATTTGTAGTCAGTCACAATAGCTTTTTGTTTTCTTTGAGTTTAGGTTCTGAATGTGACACCTAATGATGGCTTTGCTAAAGTACATTACGGCTTCATCCTGAAGGCACAGAACAAGATTGCAGAAAGCATTCCCTATTTAAAGGTAATTGTCCCCACCCTTGCTTTGTTTTCACCTTCTGAATCTTTTGAGTCTTTTGGATACGTTGACTATGCATTACAGATTGACTGGCTGAGCTGATGCACTGCTGAATCTTTTCATGGTGAAAATGTGCATCCTCTGACCATGATGTTCATAGGCCAGTGTGGACCTTCCCCATGATTGAGAGTGACCGTGACATTCATAGGCTGGTGTGAACCTTCATGATTGAGAGTGACCGTGACATTCATAGGCCGGTGTGAACCTTCACCATGATTGAGAGTGACCGTGACATTCATAGGTCGGTGTAGACCTTCATGATTGAGAGTGACTGTGACATTCATAGGCCGGTGTGGACCTTCATGATTGAGAGTGACCGTGACATTCATAGGCTGGTGTGAACCTTCATGATTGAGAGTGACCGTGACATTCATAGGCCAGTGTGAACCTTCACCATGATTGAGAGTGACCGTGACATTCATAGGCCGGTGTGGACCTTCCCCATGATTGAGAGTGACCGTGACATTCATAGGCCAGTGTGGACCTTCATAATTGAGAGTGACCGTGACATTCATAGGCCGGTGTGGACCTTCCCCATGATTGAGAGTGACCGTGACATTCATAGGCCGGTGTGGACCTTCGCCATGATTGAGGGTGCCAAATGGAGAAATAACAACTGTGTGAGCAGGGAAAAGGCTTTATGAAGAAATTCCTAACACTGCAGTTGTTATTAGTTTTTTTGAAGCATCAACAGTAAACCAAAATAATTAACGCAATTATTTTAAAATATGGGCAATGAATTAAATGGCCCTTTTACAATTGAACTATACATTGAGACTAGTTTGAATAGGGCTCATGAACCTATACAAAGTGAGGTGAAGAATGCAGACTGAGTAGGTCAAACTCCAAAAAGCCTCACAGCTCAAAATATTCAGATTAAAATATACTGTCATTTTTTTTCTCTCACATATCCAGTTGCATCCTTGCCCGCTAACTAGAATCACATGTGGTCTAGCTCAGGGCCATCCAACAGAACCTTCTGCGCCGTGGAAATGCTCTTGTACACTGCACTGTGGTAGCCACTAGCCACAGGTGTCTGGTGAAATGTGGCTCATGTGACTGAAGAATTGAATTTTTATTTTTAATTCTCGTTAAAATTAAATTAAATAATAACATTTGCCAGTGGCTACCATATTGGACCAGTAACTGACTGAATGCCTGTGAACTTCTTTTAAGTAGCAATATATTACATTTTTGTGATCTCTTTCTTTCACACACCTTAAACAGACACCAAATAAGAGCCCACTGATTGCAAATAGTTTGCATGTTATATTTGGCCACCATAATTCTATTAAAAACAATTTTAATTGCTTGTCTCTGTTGAGAATCTGAACACTTTAGGTAATCACATAGATTTCTGGTTTCTCGACAGGTCCCATCTGGCCCACACCCCCGCACAGTGCCGAGCAGTGGTGTCGCCTGGAGGGGGCCGTGCACCGCACAGTCTATCCTGGCTGTCACTGGGCCTCTGCAAACCTTTGCATGCCCTGCCAGCACCTTGTGTGCGTGTGCGTTTCTCAGATTTAACGTTTTCCCCTTAGGTTTCCTTTGACATGATAAGGGCCTAAGAGGACTCTCCTTGCTTCAGAGATGGGGAAACTGAGGGCAGGGTTGTCAGTTAACAAATGAGGACATTTATTTGAGTGTCTGTCAGTCAGGAACCCGGATCACAGCCCTCCTCCTCTCCTGAGTGATGCTTTTCTGTTTCTTGCAGCTACTTTTCAACATTGTGCAAATAAAATTTCTTCCCAGTAAAATGAGCTTCTTGTGAAAAAGCCTCAAGGATGCAGATTTACTCCTTGATACTTAAATATTTTTTACCTTTGTCCTTCTTTTACTTTTTAAAATGTGGTATCTTGCTTTAATATTTTCTCTCTTTTTTACATAAATTTTAATTCTAATACTTATGAGGGAGATTGAGATAGATACCAGTTAAGTGTTTTAGAGTAGGATTTGTTTAATAACAATTACATTTTTAAATATTCCAATTAGCTTTAATCCTAGCATATGTTTTATAAAGTATTTTATTAAAAGGTAAGAGCGTATTTACTTGGAGAGGGAAAAGCGTATTTACTTGGAGAGGGAAAAGCAGTTGGGTCTCTGTCATTTTAGACATACATGTGCAACCAAACATTTTGGTTCACGTATTTTAAAAAAAGCCTCTAGATGACAGATGTTCACATTTGGGGAATAAAATAAATATGATAGATAACCCAGCCAAAGAAATCCTTGAGGATATTGAAACATGATTGCACCCACAGAGACAATTCACAAAGTATCATGCTAATTTTATGATCAATTAATGATTAATGTATTGTTAAATTTAACTCTCATTACCTCCTTTTTTATTTTATTTGCATTGTAAATATTGACCACTAATCTAACTGCCAGACTTTAATGCTGAAATGAACTTGTCTGTCTCGTTCTTAGATTTTCATGCGGTACGTGAAGATTAAGTGAACCAGTGAATTACATGTGGTATTTAAGTCTTTCATAAATGCCAACACTGTCTTTTCTGCAGGAAGGAATAGAATCTGGGGATCCTGGCACTGACGACGGGCGATTTTACTTTCACCTGGGGGACGCCTTGCAGAGGGTTGGGAGCAAAGAGGTAATGCATTTGTGACCTTTGTGTTTTAAAAGAGGGTAGAGTGGGGGGTAAATTATTTCTAAGAGAAAGTTACAGTTGAAAAAATATTTTGAATGTAAATTTTTGAAGGTGGTGACTTCAACTTTTTTGAAACAACCCAACTGTTACTTAATCCTATGAAGAATTTTGGGGATTTGGCTTTTACAGTTCCTTTCAGTTCCTTTTACAGTTCCTTTACAGTTCCTTTGGCTTTTTACAGACATCCTTTCAAGAATGTATCTGACTAATGATGAAAGCGATCTCTAAATTAGTGTATCTGTCTCTATATGTGTCTATGTGTGCCTATGTGTATATCTCTGTGTATGTACATGATAGCCATTCCCTTAAAAATATTTCAAAAGTATGAAATAAAGAGATATCTTTGAAACTGTTTAAATATTTTAATAGTTTGCTTAGATTTATTTTTATTTTGGAACTTAAAAAGTAAATATTTTAAAATGAAGTATTTATTCAACTGATTCCTAAGCACACTGAACCTCATGGTTAATTGTGTAAATTACCCTCTGAAATATTTACTATCAAGTTTAAGATGAACACCTGTAGCGATAGTAATAACAGGTACTGACACAGAAAACGTAGTAGCTAAAACGAGTTACATATTTCCTTTGTGGTTGTCACATTCTCTGAGTACAGTGTCAGCTTCTTTAAACATAATATTTAATCATTAATCATGACATACACGGTACGTTCCCAAACTCTCGCAGTCACTCCGCCGTGATTTACATGGGAGTGCTGGGCAGCGAAGCCCACCACCATGGGCGTCCCGCACGGGGCTCTAGACGGGGCTCCGCTTAGAGCCAGGGACAAAAGGGGGAAGTGAGATGCCGAATCTTTGTCACTCTTGTATTCCATACATGTAATAAAGTGATATCTAAGTATAACACAGCATCAGGTTCCTAAGATTAATGACATGGGACCATGTGGACAATCAAAGGCTCACCGGAGAAAAGGGTTTTGTGATGGGGTAATTGCCAGCTAGAGACAAAAACCTACTTGCCATAACAGAGATTAGAATAGCTGACACTTTTCTTTATACATTTGTATGTTTCTGTACCTTTCCCTCTCTAACCTACCAGTCAGTCCATTAAAATAGAGTGAGGTATGAGAGGTGAAGAGAAGAAAAGGGAGAGGAAATTGCTGATTAGTAATCATTTTTGTGTTCCTTAATTCTTTTAAATGTGGATGTATGATCCCTCCTTTTAATGAGAGGGATAAGAAAGATTTTGCTGCAGTATCTAACACTAGATAAATGTTCGTGTCTGATTTCTGTAAATGTAATTGTCACTAATTAATCTTTGAACATCTCAGGGTCCAGGGCAAAGACAGATTAAAGAAGTCTATGATTTCTTTTCATATCTTAGATGAAAACAGCCCTCACTTCAGGGGCAAAGAATTCAGTACTAAACGCTCATCAAGGGCTTGGGGTTTGAAAGTATGAAACTGTTGTTCTATCAACTTGCTTACTTATTAATATGCACAGAACAGCACAGTTCTTGAATTTAAAAAGTTCACAAGGATTTATTCTTAAAATAGAATAAAAACAAGCCTGTAGAAACCCTATGTTAGTATATTCTTTATATCAGGTATTGAATCTATGAATTGACTATCATGCTCGGAATTTGCATATCAAGAAGCAATGGTCTTTCCTGTTCGCAGTGCATGAAGCTTTGCTCCAGGCACCGAAAGAGAAGCAAACTTACAGCCTCTGTGTTGCAGAGGCTGACAATGCAATTGTTTCTAAAGAATGCTTTTCTAATGGGTGTGCTTTGTATGGACAGGAAGAGGGAAGAGGACAAACCATGACAGCCTCTGTCATGAATTTACCATGAAATTGCCATGAATTTCAAACCATGAATTGCCATGAAATAGCAATTCAGCCTCGGCTATTCCCAATATTTCTATAACCCCCAAATCCACATTCTAACTCCTGTCTCCCCAAATCTAGATCTGTAAGCCTGCTGCCTGCTTAGTGCCGCCACACTATGTCACAATGACGACTCACTTGTCTTCCACTAAACCATTTTTCATTTTGGGTTCCAGCTCTCATTTGATGATGTTGCCAGTTTCCCAGGATCGGGACTTGAATCAGCTCTAGCTCCTCCTCCTTGGAGAGGCTCCCGTCTAAATAGGGCCAGGATCTGAGAAGTCCACCTTCCCTCTTGCTCAGTCCAGTGTTGTCGAATGTCACCTTTCACATCAGTGCTGGCTGTAAGAACCTGACTGTTGTTTCTTGCTTTAGTCTTAACTTCCTTCCAGGCCATTTCATGCTCAAGTACCCCATGGTGCAAAATAAAAATAAAGTCCTGTTTCCAAGCGATGGCGTTCATGGCCCTCCACAGGCCACTTGCAGCCGACTGTTCTCACCACAAGTGCGCCTGGTGCGCACCATGCTCCAGGCATGAGGGACCCTGGTTGGGGCCACATATGACACGCCTATTCCTCAGATGGGGCCTGGGCTTTTCTGAGCTGGAATTATTCAACATGCTATTTCTGTATCGTGTGTGTATATAACCATACATGGCAAGAATTTGAAGTATAGAAGACACATCTAAGAAGGTGCCCCTGGGTGCTCTATTTTTGTATTCTTGATTAGAGGTATAAAAAAGGAAATAATAAAGGGGAAATTTTCAGAGGATTCTAACTTGGATATTAATGTTATGGCAGTTTTTTTAGAAAGGTAGTTTAGATGTTTTAAGTGGGGGGCAATCTGGCTAAATTTTTTGGGTCCTCTATGTAACTGAAGATGATTTTACCTTCATTGAAGATGATTTTTAAAAATTCCTCATACAGCGCCAGCACAGTCCTACAGCTTCTCAGAGTCCTTTGGACAATGACTGAGGAGAAAAACCATGCAGGAAACATTTCTAGAGCAACAGTTTTCAGCTGGTGTTGCCACAAGGGAAAAAAAATGTCTCGTACATTACTGTCATGGTTTGTTTCTCTAAAGGTTAAATGGGAGAGGGGTACAAAATTAAGGGTCCAGTAGGACTAACTTTGAGTGTCAGGAAGGGACTTAGAGATAGTTTAGACATGACATTGTCAGCGAAGCGAGGCACCCAGGCATCTAGCACAGTGAACGTTAAGGCCTGGACTACAATTTAAGACTTCTAATTCCTCAGCTAGAGCTATGAGGTTGGCTGTTTTGGTTTCTTATAGTAATTTTTTTTCTCACTATTCTAACGATATGCCTGGTTAATAAAATGAATTGCTAATGATTCAGAAATTGATAGATCTTAAGATTTTTGAAAAATCATCTGTTGTAATTAAAATTGTTATTTATTTTAATACTGGAAAATATAGGAAATAAAATCATAAGTTTAAGTTGGACAAAATTAACAAAAATAGTCAAACTAATTTCAACAGTAAAATATTGTTTTTTAAAAAAATCAGACAATTAGCTGTTTTAAGTTTCTGGTTTTTAAAGTATTTCCTTTATATTGAGAAAGATAATTAAATATCACTTTTGATGTTTTTTTGTTTTTGTAATGATACAAAGATGGAAGGATTGTGGAACAAGTTGCCAGGAGCCCTGGGTTATAGGTAAAGATGTTACCCTTTTTAAACTTCAGTTTCAACATTTGTAAATTGGAGAGATTGCAGTTATTGGAAAGATCAAATGCTGATCACACATGTAAAAACAGGTACTAAACCGAAATGAGTTACTGAAAATGTGAAGTGGTCCTGCTATCACACTTGATTTTTCTAATGAAGGAAATTTTGAAGAATAAATTTTAAAAGGTTTTTAATAGTTAATAGTTTGCATTTAAAGTACTCGTATATCTGGAGTTTTATGAAGATCCCTTTCTTAATCTGCATGGTATTAAATGGCTATATTTAATTGATCAGACTGTGTATTTGAAGTAACTCTTCCAAAGTAATCGTTAGACCAGACTTCTACTAATGGAGGGGGTACTACTGAGTGTCTCACTAGAATCGCCGTCTGTGCTGAGGACAGTGGAGTGCGCGCCCTGCAGGAAATGTGGGGAGGGCCACTAGGAGAACATATGGCTGGAGCATCATTGGAGGAGACATATGGAGCAGCTACTCTGCAGCCAGCTGTCCCAGAAAAGCCTGGTCTTGGAGGCGAGTCGTCTCATGTTACAGCTAGCCTGGAGCCACACACGTTCCCCCTTATGGCAGGGGAGAAAAAGAAACAAGAACCTTCTTTGAAAAAAAATCTAATATGGTCCTTCACTGAATTAATGCCACCTCAGAACAGTATTTCCTTTTGTCGACTTAATGTAAGGGAGGATTTATCCTCTGTTACGTGGGGAGCCTGCATGTGAGAAGGAGGCACTCTCGATGTTAGCATTCCAATTCAGTAAAAGTACATATCTTAGAAGGAATTATCAAAATCATAATCCTTTTCTTTTAAAGGAAACATAAAAATGGAATTTTAGAAATGAGAGCTAGAATATATATCGCCTACTTTAGTATCTAACATTATTTATTACACCAAATAAGTCCCAGACTCTGTGCTGGACACTCTGAGGGAGACGGAGTGCCTGCAGCATGAATCCTTCATTAAAAGACTTCACAGCACTAAGCCCGAAAATAAAATGCACACCTTCATTTGTCATGATAGGTCACAGCCAGAAACCAAATCAAACAACAGTATTCTCACCAGTGTAACAGATGTAGGGGCCTGCCTAGCAAGCTCTTTATTTAAATGCACAAAGTAATACTTTATTGTTAGCGACTTTAATTTTAAAATGAATAAAAATGCCTCAATTGTAGTTCACTTTTCTGTTATTTCAGGCTTACAAGTGGTATGAGCTTGGGCACAAGAGGGGACATTTTGCATCTGTTTGGCAGCGCTCACTCTACAACGTGAACGGACTGAAAGCCCAGCCTTGGTGGACCCCGCGAGAAACAGGCTACATGGAGTTAGTGAAGGTGAGTGGTAGTTAACTTAGCCTTCACCCTCACCTAATCACTGTCTGTTTCCTACTCAACATGAGGGTGCTTCTCGTGCAAAGAAATGTCAGGGAGGAGAGAGATTTTTATATCCAGTGACATCAGCCAAAGTTTGGTTGAGATGATGAAGAAAGGAATTTTCTTAAAGAGCAGTTCTCACACATTTGGCTTAAGTACTCCTTTGTACTCTTAAAAATTATTGCACACCCCAAGGGGTTTTGTGTGTGTGTGTGTGTGTGTGTGTGTGTGTGTGTGTGTACAGGTTATGTCTATCAATATAATTATCAGAAATTGAAACTGAAAAAATGTAATAATTATTTGTGAATTCTTTAATGATAAAATAACTCCATTATATGTTAACATAAATAATTTATCAAAAAAACCCATATATTCAAAACAAAAAAAAATGTTGTGAGAAAATTGGAATTGCTTTTATATTTTTACAAATCTCTTTGACGTCTGGAGTAGTAGAAGACAAGGATTCTCATATCTGCCACACACATACACCCGTAAGAGGCCGATGTCATCTCCTTCATGGGTTAGATGGGCATCAGTGGTCTGACCCAAGGATCTAACTGCCGTCTGTATATTATTCATGTAAGAAACAACATTCTGATTTTAAAACAGGTGATTTTACATCTTGAGTATGTGTTTTCCAACACTACCCAACAATTCTCCAGTTCTCAGTGGACACTGAGTGAGTGTCTTACAAATTTAACTCAACTCTGACGCTGTCTCCCTGGAGACAACGTCATGTTCCTCAGTCTCATGAGGCTGCCCCCATATCAGACGCCAATCACAAGTCCAGGCTGTCATTTGTGGTTCTGACCAACTGGCTAGAAATCAGAGGTTCTCACAGCCCCTTCCTTGCATTCAATTAACATGCTAGAATGGCTCACAGAACTCAGAAATAGTCACTTAAGTTTACTAGTTTTTTTATGAAGGATGTTATAAAGGATACTGATGAACAGCCAGATGAAGAGGTACACAGGACAGGTCTGGAAGGGTCTGAGTGCAGGAGCTTCTGTCCCCATGGAACTGGGTATGACATCATCTTGATATTTGGATACTTTCACCCAATCCAGTAGCTCTTCAAATCTTGTCATTCAAGAGTAGTTGGTGGGAGGGCCTGAAAGTTTTCACCCTCTAATCGTTTGGTCTTTTTGGTGACCAGGTGCATCCTGAGACTATCTAGGGGTCTCTCCTAACTCACCTCATCAAGATAAATTTAGGTGTGTTCTAGTAGCTTCTAATGAATGACAAACTCCTATCATTCAGGAAATCCCAAAGGGTTCAGGGGCTCTGTGCCAGGAACCTGGGAGGAAGACCAAATATACACGCTATTATGATGCCACAGTCTGTCCCCTAGTGGATGGGTCCCTTTTATCAAAACAATTACAACATTTAATAGACATTGGTGCATTTTCGAGTCCCATTCCTTCATTAATGATTAGTTCATCATCATATCATATGAAAATACCTCCCAGGACAAGGCCACTCAAGTTGGCAGGCCTCGCAGATCTGGTAGGAGTGGTCTTAGCAATATGTGGCTTCCCCCTTTCAGACATCTGGTATAATTGAGCTAAGAAACAATATCATCTCTTGCTCTGAGCTTCTTTCAAGGTGTTGCTATATACTGGATTTCCCTCATTACATAACCCATTTACCCGTTACCTTACCCTCAGTTGCTATTCCTGCTTCTCTTCATTTATACTCAAACTTCTCCGCCTTTGGAAGGGACGTTAGATTTAGCCACTGTGTTGGTCAGGATTTCAGGCAGCACTCCTGGTCTAGCAAGTGCCTTCCCCTCTGTCCATTCAGATAAGGTCAGGTGACCCAGGGGTAGAACTAGTGGGCTGTTTTTGCCACCAGGCAATGTAGCTTCATTCACCGATCTGAGAGAGGTGATGAAGGAAAAGCAGGAGTGGCAGAGCTTGACAATTTTGGAATCTGGGTGGTAGACATATGGTGGCTTCTTTTAACGTTCTCCTAATCTTTAGATAAATGTTTTACATTTTTCAAATTTTTGTTTGTTAAAGAATATCTTGAATAAAATATGTCTATAAGACTTACAAGACTTTACTGATTAATTTGGTCTACTTGGGAAAAAGAAAAATCTCAATGTGCTCTCAATGTACTTACATTGAAAGGTATCTTACCTGACCATGTTTCTTCTGTATTCCATTGTAAAAACACACTTTATAATCATCATAAACAAATTGTAATCCATAATGATCATCATAATCCAGTGTAGCGTAGCTGCCGACAGTTAGTCTTTGAATGTTTTATAAATCAGAAAACCAGGTGTGGTGACATTGAGTGCAGATTGATTTACAGAGGTTCTATATCCAAAGCAGAAATAGTATAGGAAGTATATCTCCCTTGATAAATGTACTACATTTAGCATTGTCAGTGATTCTTTTCTTTGTAAAATTCCATCCTGTCTCAGATTGTATCACACTGAGCTCTTCTGATTCTCTCTCTACTAGCTAATCTTTTTCTCTTGATCTCTCTGTAAGTTCATTTCTCCACTGTAGTGCCACTGACGTTTTCAAGTTCAGGTAACAGAAATGCAGCATGAATCTGGCTGAAACCATAAGGACTTTGACTGGCTCCTCTGAAGGAGGCCTAGCAGCAGGGCAGACCTCAGGGGCAGCGTCACTGGGGGAAGACTTTCCTGTCTTTGCGCTCCCTCCTTGGTCAGCCTTGCCCTTGTGAGGACTTTCTGCAAGGTGACTGCCAGCGGCAACTGGAATGGGGGATTGGAAAGTATTTAGGGGCTTCACAACATTGTTCAGGGACCACACCAGCCCTAAATGCCTTCTAGAAACCTGTGAGTAGACCCTGTCCTATGGACCATGTCACATGGGTACTCACAGTTTCAAGGGAGTCAGAGAAACCAAGGAGCTGGCAGCAGGCTGAGGCAACCAGCGCCCAGCAAGAGAAAGAGTGTCCTTCTTCATCAAGCAGGGAACAAAAATGTTTCCTTCTGTCTTACTGAGCCCATTAAAGTCGCGTTTCCCCTCTGGATGAATTATTGGCAAGGGCCTATGAGAGTTTTCTTAAAACCACAGATCAACCCCTGGAGGCAGGAATGGGTCCTATTCCTCTGTGTTCAGTGGATGATCTGCAGGAGGGTGAGTATCTGAACTGAATCAGGGTTCTATCAGGAAGGAGGAAGAGGCACAGTGGGTGCTTGGGAGGCGACCTGGTTGCTCAGTGCCCTTGCTGACTGTGGACATGCTCTCAGATGCCAACTTTGTTCTCTGTTCTCCCTTCCTTGTGATTCATTTCTAAGAAATCTTTTCCACTCTGGTTCAAATGCTGTTAAAATTTCTACCAAAGCTATGCTCCCCAAATAGACTTCTCACTTTTTTTATTCTATCTCCAACTGCATAGCGAATTAACATTCAATGTGAAAATTAACTCCCCATCTAATCCCTTGGTACGTTCCTTTCCCATGGTATAAGTTTTGATTAGTGATTCAGCCTTCCCCCATTCCAGGTTTATCACTCTGTCCTTGTCTCTTACCTCTGTACCGTAGTATCTTTAATTCAGCCAAAATCTCTCCTCCCACCAGAGGATAGTTTCTTCCCTAGGACAGTTTCTTTTCCTTTACCCTTTCCCTTTTTCTTCTCTCCTGTCCCCTTCACATCTAATTCCTATTTATCCTTCCCATGTTAGAAAAGTTGTTATTTCTTTTAGGAGGATAACTTAGAGAGCCTTCCTTACGTGTATTCAAGAGCACCTCGTACATCCTTTTTAAACACTAACACACTGTATTCTAATCGCCCCTTTAGCTCTTGGCAGTCCCAAGAGATCATGCGCGCTATGAGGGCAGAATCACTTCCGTCATGCCTAGGACTAGTAAGGACTAGCACCATCTGATGCATTATGGGTGCTTGCAGATGAGGTCTGTTGTATGAGTTCTATAAACTTTGTTTTCCTGAATTGTTTCGTAGGTGTGTTTGAAATCCTGGGAATATAGAAATCTTATTATTTAGTCTTTCTTATATATAAGCAGTTGGCACAACTGGCATCCTTCTTGGCCTTCCCTAAGTGTGGAGAAAATTCCCTCTTTACTTCTACTGCCCTGAGAGAAGGACTACAGAAGAAAAAGAGCCCCTCTCCCTGTCATTTCAGGAGCAGGAGATAAGGGCATTCTTTTCTAGAAATTGCCACTGCCTAATAGGGAAGGTATGTGTAATGTTCAAAGTTCCTGTTGAAATTTCAAGCATGTAATTGCTTATAAAATGTTGGGGAATGGGGCAGAATTTTGGAAGGGCAAAAAGAATATTTGATAAATCTGCTCCTTCATAAAAGGAATGAAAATGCTGAGGAAAAAAAATGTCAAAATCAACTTTTTCAGAACTCTACATTTTAACTAAAGACTTATACCGTCTGAGAAACATTATTCAAGAAAGCCTGCTAAACCCCAATCAGAACAGCAGGATCTGTGAGCTAGTAACTTGACTCACTCTCATCTGTTCTCCCCAGCTCCAAGACAGCCTGGGCGGACGGGCATCCTCACAGCACTCGCTGTGAAGACCAGCCCGACAGGCACCCGTGGGAGCAGACCAGGGTGGGGGCACTGCACAGAGGGCCCTGTCCAGAGCACTGTCAGTATTTGACCCGTCTCGGGTTGCTTGGAAAGCCCTATTCTCACGACATTGTTGTTCTTTGACCTCACGCAGAGGTAAAGCGTTGTCCCAGTCTGTTAGATAAAATAGTCAGTGGTAGTTTTTGTTTGTTTTTTAAATATCACAGCTGCCCAAGACAGCTGTACCAATTGGGGCAAACAAGAACCTGGGAAAAAAAAAACTTTAATAAAATAAGTGGTGACATCTATAGAATACTCTACCTGGCACAAGCAGAGTATACGATGTTCTCAAGTACATGAAAACTTGCTTCAAGTTACAGCATGTTCTGGCCCAAATAAACAAGGCCCAAACAATCTAAAAGAATTGAAATAATATGAA